GACAAACAAAAGGCTGGGCATCTCATATTTGCCTTGAACAGTTCTAAGAATACAGGATATCCAGTTCATTTCTGGAACAGTTTCCCTGCAAAGGGACTGTTCTCCACAGCTCAGTTTCCCCAATTCACCTTCCTTATCCACCCCCACCTCCCAGTCTCTATTACCAACATTTGTTTGCTCTCAGTGCTTTCGTGGAGTTACTTCTGGGGACATTTTGCAATGACGACCGCCTTGGTCACAGACGTGCCTGCCTTGGAGTAAGCCCCATGGAACATGGCGGGATTTACTTCTACACAGAAGAAGGCCTCAAGAGAAGAACTAGAATCCTATTGGGGAGGAAAATTCCAAATTCACTGGGGGGGGAAATCTTTCTCCATCTGCCTGTGCTGGAACCTGGTGTGTAAACTGATGTGTTATTTGCTGACCCATTCTTGAGCAGTTCAAAACACTTTCCCGGAAAGGAGAGCTGAATTTGCATTGACCCAGCTCCACACTTGGGGGCCCTCCTTCAGGAAGCGATGACTCAGTCTTCCGATATACCTGTCTGAGCCACCTGAACAGGTTGGGGACTCCCTGCTATATAAACCCTGCCAGCTGGGTGTTGAGATAGGCAGGTGCTCCCAGCAGGTAAGTGTGATCTTTTTTGATTGCTGCCTCTGTCATTAGGGTGTGCCGGAGTGGAAGGCTCGAAGCCCTTGCTTGATCAGATTAAAGAATGATATTAAATAATGATAGATTATTTGAGTTTTAATGGATGGCATCTACATCAATATGGCAGATGGGTAAAAACGGGGTTGGAGCTGGACTAGATTCTCAGTTTCCACCAATTCCTCCTTCCTGCTGTAGGCTTCCTCATGTCGTTCTTTAGGGGCCCCCCCATTGTATTTAATTAATCTGTACCCCACCTTTCTCCCCAATGGGGATTCAAAACAGCTTACATCGTTCTCCTCTCCTCCATTTTATCCTCACAACAACCCTGTGGGGTAGGTTAGGCTGAGAGAGTGTGTGACTGGCCCGAGGTCAACCAGAAAGCTTTCATCGCACAAGTGGGGATTTGAACCTGGGTCTTCCAGATACTAGTTCAGCACTCTTAACCTGTAGACCACACCGGCTCTGTCCCCCAGAAGCAGCATTTTGTGGAGATCGTTGGGCTGCAGTGGGAAAAGAGAGGCAGGAAAGGTGTTGTTATGTAAAATATTCATTAGCCACTTCCATATGGAGTTCAAGTCAGTTTAAAGGTAAAGGTAAAGGTTCCCTTGCTCGAATCCGACTCTAGGGTTGCGGTGCTCATCTCCGTTTCAAAGCCGAAGAGCCAGCGCTGTCCGAAGACATTTCCGTGGTCATGTGGCCGGCATGACTAAACACCAAGGTGCACGGAACGCTGTTACCTTCCCACCGAAGTGGTCCCTATTTATCTACTTGCAATTTCTTGCTTTCGAACTGCTAGGTTCAAGTCAGTGTACAATACAGATAAAATACATAAAATAAAATGTATACAAGCCAAAATTTAAAATCACAGTTTAGGACTGCTAGTAAATTAATCGAATAAATAAAACCATCTTCTACTGCCTCCTAAGGACTGAAAAGGGAGGGGGCCAGGCGCTCCTCCCTGGGGAGTTTGTTCCATAATTGTGGGGCTGCCACTGAAAAGGCCCTCTCTTGTGTACCCTCCAAAGGAGCTACTTTGATTGACAGAACAGTCAGGAAGGTGTCTCCCTGTGTTCTTAATTCCCAGGCAGGAACATAAGGGAGAAGATAGTCCTTCTGATACCCCTTTCCCAAGTCATGGAGAGGACCAACACCTCGAATTGGTCAATACCAACACCTTGAATTGGGTTCAGGAGTGGATTGGTGGACAGTGTAATTGCTGTAGTATTGGGGTCACAAGCTACCAATAACTGGCCCTGGCACACAGTCTAGCTGCAGCATTCTGCACTAGCTGCAACTCCCAAACACTCTTCAAGGGTAGCCCCAAGTAGAGTGCATTGCAGTAGTCTAGTCTATATGTAACTAAGGCATGGATCACTGTGGCTAGATCTGATTGAACCAGGAACGGATGCATTTGATGAACTAGCCAAAGCTGTACAAATGCACACTGGCCCAGACATTCCATTCTGCCATTTAAAAAAATTGCTCTGGACACAGCCCAATCATTCAGAAGAAGAAAAATTACATTATTTTCCTGATGATGCATACGTGGGACACAGCAAACGCCCTCTTGGATAAAGCCATTTCATACTAAAAGATACATAAGCCGCGGGTCTTTTTTCATTTTGTGGGACACCTGCACACGAAGATGATGGGTTTGCCACTGGCCAACATGACTGTCTTGCATACACTAGTGGGACACTGGAATGGAACATCAGAAATAAATTGTAGGAGCAATTCAACAATCTGGAAAAATGAAAAACTCACCAACATTTAGATATCGTCCTTTTCTTCCTGCCTTCCAAAAGATGGAATTATGACCCAGTCCGTGATGCACATTTGTGAAGGGGGTCAGATTTGTTTGTTGATCAGATTATTGTTCTATCAAGTTCAGATAGATATTTGAAAACAGGTTAACTGAATATCTGAGAGTTCAAAAATATTTTTTTGTTTGCATAGAATGTGCTTGAATATGGACTTGGGGATGGGATTCATGAACGATAACTGTGCTAAACTGCTATAGACTGTCCCTGAGGGTCACTTCATATGCTACGTTTTGTAATGCAGAGCTTTATCTCAGATTCAAAAAAGGGGGTCTCTTTTATCGGGGTAGTGGTGGTCAATGTTCCCTCTAAGCTGTGGAGTCTTGTGAGCAAAAATTCTACTTTGTGAGCTACTGGCATTAAAGTTGTGAGTGAGCGATTTGGTGTCCCTGAGGGTCACTACATGTACTACTTGTTCTAATGCAGAGTTTTATCTCAGAGTAAAAAAAGGGGGTCTCTCTTATCGGGGTGGTGGTGGTGGTGGAAAGTGCCATCAAGTTGCACCTGGCTTATGGCGACCCCTCATGGGGCTTTCAAGACAAGAGATGTTTAGAGGCAGTTTGCCCATTGCCTGCCTCTGTGTAGCAACCCTGGACTCCCCTGCTGGTAGGGTTGCCCATTTCCAGGTGGTGGCTGGAGAGCTCCTGTATGACAACTGATCTCCAGGCGACAGAGATCAGTTCACCTGGAGAAAATGGCTGCTTTGGAAGGTGGACTCTGTGGCATTATACCCCACTGAAGTCCCTCCCCTCCCCAAACAGGCCCGTAGTGCCCACGGGGCCCATGGGCCCCGCCCTCCACGGTTTTTATGGGCCCCTCTCCAATCCTCGGCTCCCCCTCCCCCCGTCGCTGCCCTCAGCCCAACAGCTGGTGACTCCACGCTGCCTACTGCTGCTCCTAGGTGCCTGCCTCCCTAAAAAAATAAATAAAAATCAAGTGCAACCAAGCAAACGACCCGTCGTGCAATGAAAAGCAGACGGAAGAAACTCCTCCATTTACTCTGGGCCAGACCTGCCCTCCCACCCCTGCCACCCCATATGCACCGACCCTCAAAGAAGAAGGAAAAAAGAACAACCCCTCAGCGACCCGGGAGCGTCACGCAAAGTGGGAGGCACCAGCGGCTGCCCAATGGAGTCAGCAGCTGGAGTCCCCTGGTGGGGGCGAGGCGTCCCAGGCGAGGCAGCTGTCTGGGGAGCTGCCTCCTTGTCTGTCCATGTCCACCCGGAGAGGGAGGGAGGCGGAGAAGCTCGGCAGGGCACTCACTGATGGCCAGTCACCAAGAGACGTGGAGAGAGAGCACCCCGGCGCGCCCGCAAGACCCGAGGGCTCGTTCGCGGTGCCAGGGCTGTCCCTGCTGTTGGTGGCGGCGCTCTCCTCCCCCCTCGGTTACAGCCAGGGCTGCCTTAGGAGTCCCAGCAACTAAATCAAAGTTAATTTAATTAACTTTGATTGGCTGGTGCCCCCCCGGCTCCTCCACCCAAACTCCTTAGCTACGGGGCTGTCCCCAAACCCTGCTGTCCTCAGGCACCCATCCCCCAAATGTCCAGGTACTTCCCGTCCCGGAGCTGGCAACTCTACCTGGTGGACTCCCATCCAAATACTAGCCAGGGCTGACCTTGCTTAAATTCCAAGACCTGACAAGATCAGGCTAGTCTGGGCCATCCAGGTAAATGCCTCATTGGGGTATGCATGCCTAGTTTCTGATGCGTACATCTAAGACCAAACACTAAGTTTAAACGTTTACTCAGAAATGAATACTCTGCAGGGGCCACCCACAGTGCTAGGCAAATTTCAGCCATGCCGTGCCACTTTGCACATGCCCAGAGTGAATTGCCAAAACCAGGGCTATTTTTGGGCAGGAACGCATAGGAACAGAGTTCCGGCTGGCTCCCAAGTTGGCCACACCCAGCAGGAACTCATTAGCATAATAGCCACACCCAACAGCAGAAACTCATTAGAATTGGCTACATTAAGGGTGTGTGGCCTAATATGCAAAGGAATTCCTGCTACAAAAAAAAGCCCTGGGTTTTGACAACAAATAAGGTAAACAGAATAAGAAGCAAAAGGTGGGTGTGGCTGGATAACCACACTTCTGGTAACATGGGAATGCGGCTTAATATGCTAATGAGTGGTGCAGTCAGGGTGTGGCCTAATATGCTAATATGTTTCTGCTGCTGGGTGTGGCCTATTATGCTAATGAGTCCCTGCTGGACTTTTTCTATAAAAAAAGCCCTGGCCAAAACCATGCACAAAAGTAGAATCCGTAATCAGTCAGTTACTGGGGAGGGGCTGTGGCTTAATAAGAGCCTCTGCTTTGCATGCAGAAGGTCCCAAGTTCAATCCCCAGCATCTCCAGTTAAGGACCAGGTAGGAGATGTGAAAGACCTCTGCCTGAGACCCTGGAGAGCACCTACCAGTCTGAGTAGGCAATATTGATCATGATGGACCGAAGGTCTGATTCAGTATAAGTCTGTTTCATGTGTGTAATCACTCCTGTGCCATAACCAATGTTCTTGTCTTGTTCTGCAGCCATGGGGGCAAGGATGATGCTGCTGATAAGCATTGGGATGGCCCTTTTAGGTGGTGAGTATGAAACCGGATGTGGTCTATTGTCTACTAATGCAAAAGGTATGGGGGAATCTGATGGGCAAGCTGCAAGCAGATATATAGCCGGGCAATAATGGCAGCCGATTGCGATTTTGTCGATCGGGAGGTCCGTAAGAAAACGGTTTGCTGGTTGACCTTGGGCCAGTCACACCTCTCAGCGTAACTTAAAGGTAAAGGTTCCCTTGCTCGAAAGCCAGTCGAGTCCGACTCTAGGGTTGCGGTGCTCATCTCCGTTTCAAAGCCGAAGAGCCAGCGCTGTCCGAAGACGTTTCCGTGGTCATGTGGCCGGCATGACTAAACCCCGAGGCGCATGGAACGCTGTTACCTTCCCACTGAAGTGGTACCTATTTACCTACTTGCAATTTCTTGCTTTCGAACTGCTAGGTTGACAGGAGCTGGAACTAGAGACGGGAGCTCACTCCATCATGCGGCACCCGGGTCTTGAACTGCTGAACTACTGGCCTTCCACAGCCTGCAGTTCAGCGTCTTAACCACTTGAGCCACCGCAGCTTACCTCAAGTTAAAAGAATAAAGTGGAAGAGAGAATGGTGTGCTGAGCCACTTGTCATGATTTGGCAGAAAGTGGGGTACAAATGTGTTAAATAAAATATTAGAGGTCAGTGGGCTATATCCATTATGCCATCATTTCCTGCACCCTGCCTTTGGTCAGGACTCGCAGTGTTCCCTCTAAGCTGAGTTAGCGTGAGCCAGCTCACAGCTTTTTAGCCTCCGGCTCACACATTTTTGTCTTCGCTCAGGAAGGATGGCTCCAGAGCAAACTAACTGATGCAGCAGCCAAATCGCTCGCTCACGACTTTGATGCCGGTAGCTCACACAGTAGAATTTTCGCTCACAAGACTCCACAGCTGGTCAGGAGGGTGTTGTGTCAATAATGGGGCTAATTCTGGATTGGGAAATCTCTGGAGATTCAGGAGGGGAGCCTGTGGACAGAGGAGGTTGGGTATAATGCCACAGAGTCCACCCTCCAAAACAAGCACTTTCTCCAGGGAAACTGACGCCTGACACCCAGAGATCAGTCGCTTTCCCCAGAGATCTCTAGCGCCCACCTGGAGACTGCACCACACCGATGTCCACTGTGCAAGAATGAACATTGGTGGGGTGCAACCTTGGTTGAATCACTGTGGTCCGTTTGTGGCTGGAACTCACCTGGGGGTTGGCAACCCTGGCTGGGGCACGTACAGCACTTTTATGTTTCCCCAACAAGAGCAGCCGGAGCCAGTTCTGATTGGGAAAAGGGCACCATGTGATCCTGATAAGAGGTGGGTGCCCACCTTGTTCTGCAGCCATTACTGGATTTATCAAAACGCTAGGGCTTGAGACAGGGTTGCCAACCTCCAGGTTGCAGCCATGGGGACTTTGGAGGATGGTGTCAGAACCCACAGCTAACAACGAAGTACACGCATTCAGGAACAGTTATACTTTTATTGCAAAGCTATAGATGCAGTATCACAGGCACTGTTAAGAATGGCGGCAACCAATAGAGCCTAATATGATATAGGGTATTCGTATGCACCCCCCCCCATGGCATGGACCAATTAGATACCCTCCTGCGCGCGGGACAAGTTAGGAAACTGTTAAGTGGCTAAAGCTGGGAACCAGGAGTCTCTCACGGTACATAGGAGACTTCCAGACAATACAACCTCCTCCTGCACATCTGTAGAGATAAGCGTTTTAGCAAAGGCAGAACAGCAGGGATAGGAATGCAATAGCAATTAACAAGACACAGAATGAACTCCCCAACGCCTATGGCAGCATAGCTGACAGATGGATTCTATGGCATTATATCCTGCTGAGGTCCCTCCCCTCCTCAAACCCCGCCCTCCCCAGGCTCCACCCCCAAATCTCCAGGTATTTCCCAAACTGGAGCTGGCAGCCCTAGGTTGAGATCATATCCCGGTGTCTCAACGGAATTCTAGCATCACGGAGTGATCCTTTCTATAAAACAACATCCTGTACATAGAGAACTATGTATGTCCTATTGGGATATTTGGTTAGTATAGCAGAGTTTGCCCAGTCAGTGACACTGAGCGCAGTAAACAAATCTCCCAAGAAGTATATTGCAAAAAAGGTAAACTTCCATTTATTCAAGTAGATCCAGCTCACATTCTGGTGGCAGTTGAAAGAAGAGAAAGCCTAATCTAAAGAGTACTTTCCCTGTCACAAAGGGGCCAGCTTGTGCGGCATCATGTGTGTGGGAGTATGAGGGCACTGTGCCTCCATGGAAGGCCATGTGAGGAGAGGGAGATAGCGAGAGGGAGAGGACAAAGATAGCAAGAGGGAGAGGACAAAGATAGCGAGAGGGAGAGGAGGGGTCAGAGGGGAGCTGCCAGGTGAAGACAAGGAGAAAACTCCCATTCAAGGAAATAACAGCTTTAGAGACGTAGCACCCCCCAATGTCCAGGCATGCCGAGTCTCTCAGTCCAGGATGTGCAACATTACAACCCTTCAGAAACATTCCTCATCTGGTAGTTCCCATCCCAGGTAGATCGCCGTCCCTGTCTTTCCCTTTTGAGACTGCCTTATCATTTTTACTGGTGTGAGTTATTAGAATGTTTTTCCCCCAAAAAAACAATTTATTAGGACATAATAAAAAGTCAAACATATATCAAATTATTTAGTTATCCTACATCCTTTTCTACTATTCACCACTCTCTTCTGGCTTCCCACAGTGCTCCAACCTCCAGCCCATATCTTAGATTTTCTTTATATCTCCCTTTCTTGCTATTCACAACCTATAGGTAACTTATATGTCAACTAATATTCTTCTACATTTATCCTTATTCTATTATCATTCAGTTTTTAGTAACTATCAAAGCAAATCAAATTGTTCTTTACATCCCAGTATTTCTGAAGATACTCTTTAAAGTGTTTCCAGTCTTCAAGAAATTCTTCCACCTCCAAATTCTTAAGTTTCCTTGTCATTTTGTCCATTTCAACCATAAAGAGTAATTTCTTTATCCAATCCCCAACTTCAGGGTCTTTGTCCTGTTTCCACGATTGAGCATACGTCATTCTGGCAGTTGTGAGGAGTTATTAGAATGTCCAGTCTTTAAGGCTGAGCTCCCTCCCTGGGCTCTCTAGAAGATAGATCTCTTGAGTCTTGTCCCTAGCACGGATCCGTGCCCCAACCTGCACATGAGCACCAAGGCTGCAGTCCTAAACGCTCTTTCCTGGAAGTAAGCCCTATCGTATAAAATGGGACATCTCTCTGAGCAGGCCTGCTCAGGGTGCAGAAGCAATGTGATGGCTTTACACAAGGTTGCTTCCGAACACCCATTTTTGCTTCAGCTGGAGGGAAGAGCAGCGATAGGGCTCAGATCATGGGGGCAGGGCAGTGTCGGCTGTAGTAAGTAGGGTTGCCAGCCTACAGGTGGAGGCTGGAGCTCTCCTGAGATTACAGTGGCTCTCCAGGTGACGGGGATCAGTTCTCCTAGGAAAAAAATGGCCACTTTGGAAGGTGGACTCTGTGGCCTTATACCCCATTGAAGCCCCTCCCCTCCCCAAACCCCGCCCTCCTCAGGCTCCACCCCCCAAAATCCCCAGGTATTTCTCAACCCAGAGCTGGCAGCCCCAGCAAACTTGCAAGCCTGAAAACAAAAACATTCTAACCAGCCAATCATTGCCCGCAACCATAAAAGAAAGTTTAAAAACCTTTTAAAGCCACAGAAGCAAAACAAACACTTAGGAAACCACAGTGTGGTATGTTGGAGTCTGTTCGTAGGCATGAAGATTTTGCATATATTCAGAGGTCATTTCGGGGGGGGGGGGCGGGGGGGATCGCAGTTCCCCCGGATGAGGTACGGGGGGGGGGGCCCATGATGAA